ATTTAGGTATAGCTCCATGTCAAAAGAATCGGTCGTTGACTTCATGGATGATTGTCCGCGGTAATGCGTTGAATATGGAGGAACATTGGGCCGATGTATGGCACGAGCTGGCTGAAGCTGCTCAGTGCTGAGCAAGTTGGGAGGTGCGCTGGTGGCGTAGCCAGGAGACGATCGGGAGGGCGGGCGCTAGGACTCGGAGGATCGGGGGAGGGCACGTGGTGAATTTTCGTGTCGCGTCGGGCACTGGCCCCAGACTGAGGCGACTCGACGACTCGCTCATCGCTCTCTCTCCGTCGGGCGTCGCCCCAGGAATGTCCAGGAGCGCGTTCAAGAGGATCAGACTACCAAAGCACTCCCGCCCCGCCGCCCTCCCCCGCCCTCACCGCCTCCACACCTCCGCCCCCCGCTGTCTTGCTGGCACCTTCTCTCCCTCCGACATCTGGGACTATGAAGTTAGCGGGAACAACCCAGGACAGGTCATCATCGCCTCCAAGCTTGGCGACCTCAGGCGCGTACTCCTCATCCGCCCGCGTCCCGAGCCCAATCGCGTGTGGGGTTCCTACCTCGACCTACTCACGTTCCTAGAACCGACAAGCGTCCCGCTGGAGGTGCACCAGGCTGTCCTCCGATATTGTACCCCACCCGCCGCCGACCTCCGCCTGAAGGTCGCGCGGTCGATGAACTGGGATCCAATGCGGCAGGGACCACACTTGCACGAGACGCGCTTCCAAGCAGTCATCCGCAATATCCGTTCCTCGGGCTGCTGTCCCACCCTGGAGGACTACCACTTTGTGCTCGAGCAGTTTGCCGCGGTGGGTCATCATCTAGGTGCCATGCAGGTTCTGAACGAGATGTCGCGTGTGGGTCTGCAAAAGACGCCAAAGACGTACGGGCTGTGTTTGCAGGCTCTTTGCCACCGGCTGACCTTGCCTTGCTGGGACGTCCTGCGGCCACAAGTGGTCTCTGATGTGACCCGTCTGTCAGTTAAGCTGCTCAGGGAGATGGAAGCACTCCATATTCCGTTTACATCCCTCAATGTTGATTTGGCCATCCGCATAATGAAAGAGACGTTAGATCTAGACGGTTTCGCGAAGCTGATGAAGGGAGCGTACGGCATCGACCTATCGTACCCCGACCGTCCCCCTCTGGAGCTCTGGGACAAGGCCACGGGCCGTTCCAAGAGCATAATCTTTGCAGACGGTTCGACTGCGCCGGATCCCATGCCATTCTCGACTGCAGCTCTCAACACCGCTATCGACATGCTCGGTCGCCTCGGCGAGGTGTCTAAGCTCGTGCAGACGTTCGAGGTGCTGACTACCCCCCTTCCGCCACAATCTCAAAACGCTGCTGCCACGTTCGATGAAGACGAAGACGACGAGTTTGGTTACTCAAATCCCCGTGTTGCTCCATATCCGGTGCCAAGCGCAGAGCCGAACACCAGCTCTTACCACATGTTGCTCAAGTGGATCTCCCGAGCTGGGAACGCTTCTCTGGCACGGCATTACCTTCTACAGGCGATAAATCTGGACAAGCGGGTGAACAGGCAACTGCGACGTGACTGTCTGACCAAGCCGCGCGAGGAGCTCATACAGCCCACGTTTGGGGTAAACCGAAGCATGCTCGTCGCCGTATTCGGTCTTTCCAACCGTGATAAAAATCTCGAGCTGATGCGCTGGGTCCGTGGGAGGATCGCACAGGTGGCTCACTGGAAAGAAAATAATCTCCAGTTCTACAAAGCCGTGCGTGATCGCTGGTCAGCAGAAGAATCAGGAGATGGGTCAGAAGAATCACTGGATCGTTCTCTCAGTGACCCCGAGTCAGAGCCTCAAGCATCAAATCCCGCTTCGATACCTCCAATATCCGACCCTTCTCCGTATGACTCCCAGACATTGGGTATCGCCTCGACATCGCCAGAGGGTACCTTTCCCTCCCCAGAACACTCCGCGTTGCATGCTGCCTCAGCATCTCTAGGTGCTACCCCCCCTGCTCCAGACCCCCACGCAGGCGAGCCTGCTCCTGCCTCATTAACGACTGAGCATCTTTCGACTGATACCGTTGTCAACGCTGAGAGTGCAGACCCTACTGTGTCGCCCGCGGCATTTTCGACCTTCTTTAGTCCTTCTACCGCCTCCGAAGAGGCTGTCAACAAAACGATCAATGTCCCCCGGATGCCCTACTTCGACGTCGACCTCGACGCACATGACCCAGCGCCGTCTTTCCGTCCGAAGCCGTTGGACATGGACGTCCACATTGAGATCCTAGAGCGCGAGGTGCGGGCGCTGCAACAGCTGCGCGCACACGTGGTGGACATCGTGGGCAGGACGACACAGCGCGTGAAGGAGCGGCTGGGCCGCAGGGTGTGGGCAGGAAAAGATGTTTATTTGCGCGATAAAGGAACGCGAATTTTCATCGCGCGGGACGAGTGGCGGCGGAAGGTCAACTTTAGCCCGAGGAGCGCGGTCCTTGCGCGGAGCCGGCTGGTGGCACCGTCTGCAACGTCCCCCGCGAAGGACTCGGCGCCGCACCTGCGCCCTGGGTCTGTCGCTACCACACGCGGGCTGATGACCTCTGCCGCAGATTTTTACCCTGTCTCGTGGTCAGATTGCTGTAGCAGCGGCAATGTGTCATGACCATTGACTCTTGTGCATGCTGTTCACGTGAGTTCTCTTGAATCTTCGCGCTGCAAGTCATTTGACTCGGACTCCCTAGTCACCCGCATGACTATTGTGGGGGAAGCCCTGTGCTGGCTACTGCATCACGTCCAATGCGCGCGTGTACATACGTTCGCCCGACGGTGGCGTTCTGTTTGGTTAGGCCCGATCGTCGGGATCACGTGATGTGTCGGTGTGGGTCCAAGTTGTGTGGTTGAGATGTCGAGCGAACTCGACGTTCGACTCAGGGTCTGGTAGTTGAGTGTTCCTTGCCTTAGCTTGCCATGTACCTCCTGCCATATGATCTGTATACGAGCCCCGTTTCTCGGCGACAATGTAGGAGACGGCTTAGTGATGTACCCGTGCTCCGTAGCAGTGATCCTTGTCCTAGCCGTGCTTGCTCCCGCTTCGAATCTCATCAGGACCTACTCAACAGGTTCTCCTCAAATATAGCTGAAGAAGAACGAAGACTGCAGACCTTGCTGCTCGCGCATGATCTTGACGGCAGCCGCTATTCTGGTCTCACTGCTGGTGCATTGCAGGCCTGTTCCCAGCCGGCTGAGAGCTGTGCATACCAGCATGGCGCAGACGTGTCTGATCCACTGTCTTCCGATGGAATCAGGGATAAATACGACTACCTGCTCACCCCACTACGCATGAAGTATTTTCCGAAGCTCAGTCCAGACGAGCTCAGGACTCTTCTGAGCACACCGCCGACGCGTGTGGCAACCCCGGACTGCTCCTGGTGGGCAGACTCGCCCACGGGCATGGAGATCCACTCGCCCTCCCACTCCAGGCGGGAGAAAGTATGCCTCCGCGAGTCCATGACGCTGTGCAGAACCGGTACCGGACGGTCCTCCTCCTCCCTGGCCCCCGTGTCCGTTACAGGGGGGTGCTCCTGCCCTCCTCTGTGTGGACGGGCCTCCCACGGCGGCGACGGCGGCGGCGGAGGGGCCACACTGTCGCTCCCGCTGACTCCGCCGCTAAGCACCCAGTTTCCCGTTCTCGGTGCGTTTGCTTCTCACGACGATGACGTTGTGCCAGCTATCTCTGGCTCCTCAGGGGAGGTGCGGGCGCAGCATACCCGAGCTCGCGCGCGTACCCCGCTCCTCGGCCCATTCGACTCGTTGGAGGACGGCTCTGTGCATGCGCTTGGCTCTGGCTCCGGCTCCGACTCTGACCCTGCTCCGTGCTCGATCAGTGCCGCGAGCACCGCAGGCGTACCTGTACCTGTACCTCTGCCTCCCTCGGCGGATGAACCGAGGGGCTCGAGGGACTATGCCGCCGCTCGCGACGCTCGCGACCCTCAAGCTGCCCTTCAAAATGATCCCGCGCTCACGCGGGGTGTCGCGAGTCTCACGACGGTCCTCCAGCGGCATGGACATGGTCCGCTGACTTCTGACGCCGTGTTGGGCTTCCGCCGCGTTATCGACGAATTACAAGGCGCGGAGGAGCGCCCTCCCAGAGATCGCTCGAGCTCCCAGATCGACTCGCCTTCGCCGCCCTGTCAAGAATCCGCTGGACATGCCGCACGTACCGCATCTCGAGACCCTCCCGACAGCGCTTGGAAGGCCCGCACCCGTGAACAGTCGCCGGGTCTGAAGCTGGACAGAGGGGAGCTCCCGCTGTCTGGGCCTTTCGCAAGTACTCGGATCACAAATGGAAAGACATCTTCTTTGAGCGAGGAATATCATCAGCTGCTGCACGCCCGTGCCGAGGAAGAGGAGCGGCTTGCCGCACAGCTCACCCTCCTTGCACACAGGCTCGAGACGATGGCCAATTGCCGGCGCCAGTTGGCCAGAATAGCACGGGCGACTGAATAGAGACACTCTGCCGGTACATCATGTCCTAGGCTCGATCTGCGGCTGGACGGTAGGTCGCAATGAATCCGTCTCCGCTGCATATGCACCCCAGTCTGCGGATGACGACGAGCGTAATCACAATATCACAGAGAATCGAGGCAAGCCTGGAATATGCGCCTACATCATCGTGTTCTGTCCCAGTTTTCCCCACGGTCGCACGCACCTCGTGATGCAGCGCCATCATTCTGTATTGTATCGTACTTCTGATTGATAATCGAACAGGAAACTGCATTGACTAAATAGAGAGCGAACAGCGGTACACGTGAAGGATGGGTAAGAACAGTGCAAGGGTATTATGAGTGGAAAACCCAGATGGAAAGGCATTAACGACAGCAAAGTTCTGATGGATCGCGGCAGTCTAAGTGCGAGGAGGCGTGCTCGTGCGGTTGTCGAGGCGCCGCATCTCTCGTTCTAGTTTCTCCATTCCAGTCAGCCCAGTGACCTCTGCGTTGCCCCGTGAGCCGTGCTTATCAAATAAGTATGTGAGAAGATTCTTCTTATCGTCCGGCAGGCCGTCGAGCAGCGCAAACAGATGCGTCTCGTCGCGGAGGACAAGCTGCGCTGCAATGATAGAGGCCGCGGCTGCTTCTCGGACGACGAGCGAGGAAGTGGTGGACGAGTCCGTGAGCGCCTGATAACCGCATATTCAGTATCCCGCCATTTAGGAAAGAAGAATGCAACAACTCACCGAGATCAATGTGGTCCGGAGGCGCGGCAGCTCTTCTTCCAAGACCTCTGGCGGCAATCGAAGGACGAACTTACCCAGAGCGACGAGGCCGAAGGCGTACGTTCCATCTTTGATCTCGACGCTAGACGGAGACGGAGACGGCGAGTCACGGAAGGAGCGGAGACAAGCGTGCAGGGTGGTGAGGCCGTACACGGGCTCTATGCGGCTGGTGAGGGCGTCTCGGAACATATTCGTGGCTTGCATGATCTATCAGATGTGTCAGAGGGTGTAACGTCAAAATCACGAACAGATAAATTACTGACGGACGTGCGAGCAGAGTACCTGACTTGGAGAAGCGCTGTGAAGATTTCGGCCTCTCTGCCCTCGACGAGAGCGGCCTGATTGGCCAGCAATTCCCAGAGGACGATGAGGCCATACTCGAGCGTCTCGCAGTCCTGCACAAGAAGGGCAAAGGTAATTAATATACACGCGTCTGCGACCGCTGATGGAAAGGCACCTTTTGGGGATCTAAAAATTGCACGAGCGCGGTGAGCAAGCGATCAAAGGCCTTCTGGCCCGTCCATAGCTCGGTGTCTGACGGAAGGTGCGAGTGGATGGGGGGCGAAGGGGCGAGAGCAAAGGGGGTGGGGACGTCGTCGATGGGATGGCGGAGGGAGAGGAGGGCAAGGCGGGAGAGGGCGGGGACGTCGGCATGGCCGGCATGAAGGGCGGAAATGGCCTGGCCGAGTTCATGTGCCGGATCGTCGGTGCTCGCCGGCGCTGCGGAGGAAATCACTGTCAAAGGAGCCATCAGTACTTCCGCTGGACGAGGTCTGCCACCGAGCTGCTCACGTGCCGTCCGCTTTCTCCACCACTCGCCTGCGTTCACCGACTCCCCCCGCACCATGTCGAACAGCGTCCCCAGCTTCTTGCTCGGTGCAGGACTGTCCTCGAACAGCGCTGCCCGCCGCATGATAGCTGCCTGGCGGTTCACTGGCGTGCGCGGCGCCGCCAACGTCGTCCTTGCCGCACTTGGGGTCACCATGCTTGCCGCGCTCGCCTTTCCACCCGGCGACCCGCCGCCGTTCCGCAACAGCAGCGACGGCGGGATCAACGACGGCTGCATTCCATCCTCGTCCGGCTCAACCAGCTCCAGCAGGCGCTCTGCCGCACTCTCCGCCTGCTCGGCCCGTGCACGCAGTGCATCTTCCACGATCGGCTGCGGCACTCCACTGGGTGGAGAGCTGGTCGACGTCGACAACGCATTTGACATGCCGGGCCTCGAGGTGCTCGACTGCGGTGAGAACGACGGTGCTTGAGATCGCGTCCCCTTCGCCGGCGGGTACATCTCGAACGGCGTCGAGAACGAGATCAGGTTCACCGAGTCGTCGATGTCCATATCAGAGTCACTGTCTTCCGGAATCGGGATCTTCGTCGCCAGCAGCAGCGACTCTTCCTCCGATCCGTGCACGCCTTGCAGCGCCGCTATCGACAAGGATTCACGAGGAAGGGGAACTGCTGCTGCCATGCCAGCTCGCGGGTTCCGAGGCGTCGGCGTCCCGAACGCGACTACCGAACTTGGCGGCGATGCTGGCAACGCAGTCTGCATCGCGCGTCTGAACGTGGAATGGCCATTGCCAGTCGGCGATGTAGACCGAGCAACGAGCGGGGAGGACACGCGCCTACGGTACGCTGCGTCTGCGGTAGGGGTAGGGGACGGCGGCGAAGCGGGCGGAGACAGTCCTGGCGACCTCGTCGATGGCACTGCATTTGAACTCACGGACCGTGACATTGTCGAAGATACTATCCTCGCTCGTGGTGGGGATGACCGGCCTACGGGCGACGATGCGCGCACAGCACCCATGGAGCTGCTGCTCGACAACACGGGCGACACGGCGCGTCTGGTTGGCGACATTGCCCGCGCCGCATGAGACGTCGAAGTCGCCTGATGTCTCAGCGTAGGGGGCGCGGTCGCAATGGCTTTCGCCTTCGCTCGGCTCGCCGCAATTGCCGCTGCGACGCTGGTCTTCTTTGGCTTGGGCGTTGCGATAGGTGCCGCCACCAGTGCCTCGGGATTTGGGCAAACCTTCTCTAGTTGCTTCTTCGCAACAGAATCCAGAGAATCCAGAATTGTCCTACCCCTATCGGGCCAGACGCCATCGAATACCCAAAACACCCTGCGAGCATTTTCTCTGACACCTGCATTAGGGTCTCCAAGAGCTTTTTTAATGCACTTTTCCAAGGTCTCAGCGCCACCCGCGGCTTCGATAGCATGTTTAGAATGCGCACAGTGCACCTCCAGGTACGTCTGGATATGCCCGACGACAAATGAACGCATCTGTATGGACTTGTCTTGTAATGAATTCCACAGCTGTGGAACCACCAATCGCGGCTGTGCTGATGTGTGGGACACGATGGTAACGAACGTGGCCTGAGATTGCTGGGCGGTAATTTTTTTCGTGAGACTTGCCATCCTGAGCAATTGAGTCAATAAGACGTCACAGAACGGATCGAAGGCGTGTCCAAGGGTGATAGCGAGCTCAACGTAGAGCGAACAAGTGTTCGTTGCTACAGTGGTCCGCAGGCTAGCGAGCTGTCGAATGACGAACCGAATCAGACCACTGTTCCAACATTCACGAATGTGGAAGACATCTTACTGTTTTGAGAGAGGCATTGATGAATCCATTCTTGAGGCCGAGCAAGAAAGCATCCGCGAATCGCTCGTGGACTTCGCCCTTGAGCATCCCGCGAACGCGCTGGATGGACTGTTCACGCGGAGCCCAATTGTGCTCCGTCTCCTTGCCCTAGAAGCCGGGCACAGGGCGATCAGCGGAATACGGCGGGAAGCACTGAATGCGAAGCACCTCGAAATGCCGGAGCATGGAAGCAAACTCATTTTCCAAGTCGTGTGTAGACGCGATCTTCAAACATCTAGCGCGTCATTTCGTCATCCTCCGTACAAAGCGTCCGCACTCACGTAAACGGGCTTGACGTCTGGCGCGCTCCCGCCTCCGGCGCCCACGCTCTCCGCGAGCGGGGGAGATACCACCGCAGCCCGACTCGACGGTCGCGCCATGTCCTTGACGCTTCCCTGGCTCACGGCCCGTGGCAGCGCGCCCGCTGCGCCCGTGGTGAGAGTCCCTGCACTCTGCCCCGGGCGCCGGTTCATGAGTGCAATGCTTGGCGGAACATACTCCTTGGGCCCGGCGTCGCCGTTTTCCGAGCCTGCCTCGCTCAGCGTCCCCGGCGTGCTGGCCCCGCCACCCCCACCTGCAAGCACCTTCGCGAGCACGCCGTCCACGATGCCCTTGCGCACGCCCTTCTTCGTCATCTCCTTCTTGAGGTCGGCCCGTGCGGCGTCCGTCACCCCCGGGCCGGTAAAGAGCTCCACGACGGACTGGCGCGCGCACTCGCGCACGGCGCCATCCGTGTCCTCGAGAGCCTCGACCAGCGCGGGGAGGTACGGGCGGATGGGAAACAGGTGGTGCGCGCGCCGGAGGTGCACGAGCGTCATCATCGCCTGCACCGCACACCGTCCGCCACGCGAAGCGAACACGGAGCGCACACGGGGACGCACACGAAATGAGCACGAAATGAACGAGCCACGAACCAGGGCGGAAACACAGCGTCAGCCACGCGCGGCACCAGCCCGAGGGCCCCGGACACACGAACGCACCTGCTCGCGCACCCTCCACACCTTGCTCGCGAGGCCCTGCTCGCGCAGGTGCTTCTCGAACACCATCAGCGGCGTCTCTGCCCCCTTCGCGTCGCGTGCCCGCCCGCCCA